AGGCGGGTGCCATTAGTTCTAATGGCACGCCGCCCACACTGGAAAACACAACTGTACTGGGAACCGAGGTTCCCGTGGGGGCTGCGTTTTCAGAAGAAGTGCAGGAACTTCTTCCCTGCGTGTCATGGAGCATGGGAGTCTATTCAAATGAATGGGCTCTTGTTCCCATGCAAAATGCAACCTGCATGGCCACATATATGTATATGCAGTAAAGCATGTTTGTTATACTCACTGCATCCTCTGCATTGTGTAAAAAGGCTGTTTGATCCTTTCTTCCCTGCCCCTCCTCTTGTTGAAATGACCACCTAATACAGACTGAATCTGTAGTCACATGTGCATGCTCAGTTTGGTGTGTATTGTTAGAGAGGTTTTTTTTTTTTCCTTGGAAGTGTGCATGTGATCAACACAGGGCCAATCAGCACTGCCCAGACAGAGGGTCAAGGGTTTCACATCCTCCTAGAGCAGAAAGAAAACTCCTTCTACAAGCTTTAACCAATGCTCTGCTGAAGTCACAAGACTGCTCTAACTGCTGGTGAGAAAAGGTATTTAGCAGCTTATATTTACTAAAATAATTGCATTTTCCATGTTCTGTGTACTGTGGGAGACCAGATATAGTGAATGCAGGGTCCTGGGTTTAGTAACACTTTAATTCTAAGGGCCCATGTACACCATATGCTTGGGGCTTCGCTGAGCAGCCTTGCCCAATGCATAAACAAGGCAATTTGCCTTAAGTTTTATGAGTTCAGTTCACACCACTATGCAGCTGAAAAGAAAGTAGGACATGCTCTACTTTTTTTTCAGTGCGTTGTGTTGCGGTGCAGTACATCACATTGCATCCTGCTGTGGTGAATAAAGATGAATGAAACATCAATTTGAGACATTTTAATAAAGTTGAAAAAAAAACATAAACAGTGTGATGTGTTATTACAACACCATAGGCAACATTCCTTTTTCAGTGCACACCAGTGGCCATGGTATAACGAGAGCGCCGGAGTGAACAAGCCCTTAGGACAGCAAATTGTTATAACTTCCACACAAAGTGGAGAATGCGGGCAAGACGTGACTTTTTTTTTTTTGTAAATGTGCCCCATAATTGCATATTGCTAATTTTATATTCTCATTGGTTATCTTTTTCTTGTCATGAATATGTGTTATCAGAAACAGAATCAAACCAGTGATGGGTGTTTGTAATGTCCAGTGATGACCTCAGCTCTTATATAGTCATACAGTGATAGGTTTCTGTTGTATCTGGTAACCTTGTGTTTGTTGAACATCAGTGCACACTCAGAGTTCATTCAGGCTCCTCTCTGGCGCTGAGCGGGTTAAGGAAAGACAGTGCGGTTTTCTCCTATCTGCGTCTGATCTGCTCTCATAATCAGATGCCTGTATGGGTTCCTGTAATGCCGGCAGCATGTTAATCAGACCCTCTGTGGGGTTTGCGTTTATTGTACGAAGGATCTGACTCTGCCGGGAGAAGTAGACACTCCGTGTATCGAAAATCCCCCATTAATATATTTTATTACCGTGAATCTGCAACTGTGTACAGACAATGGGCTGGCGGGAAGGGGGAGAGAAGAGGATAGAGGTGGGGGATCACTTGCACAACATACAAGCTGTGCATTCCAAATGACTGTTCATGTCTGCATTTGGTACATACAGACCGGCTCTGCATTTTCACTGTGGGCAGCCAAGCCCTTGGAAAGGTTGTCAGCCTGTAGTTAATGTAATGTGAGATCATGGAGGAATTGACAGATACATTTCAGAATGTAACTATATATCTGTTTCATGTGTAACTTAAGAAACCCCAGACAGCAAACGACAGGTAATGTAATATGAACGTACTTATGTAGTCAATGCACTTTACGCTAAATGAACATGTACCTCTAACCAAATCATATTTTAGAGTATATAGAAAGCCAAAACTTTTTTTACAATTTTGAATAGAGTAGGGATTTTTTTTTGCTCTGTCCCAATGGGGAGACTTCCCTTGACTTCCTGTCCTGTAGACACAACAGTCAAAGTGAGGGAAATCCCCTTTTGGACATTTTCTAGCTGGCCAAGTTTCCAAATAGAAGATTTCCCTTCTTAATACTTTGAATAGAACATTTGTGATTGAGCTATTGATAGACCCTAAACAATGTATTCTGGGTAACTTAGGTCCCATAGTCCTCCAGACATTTACTAAAGAGACCATTTTGAGAGCCCTGTTTCAGGCCCTTAGACTTACGTCACTGAAAGTCTGATAGGCTGCCAACGCTAAGCGAGTGGATTAAACAGATGGTGGACACTCGGCTGGAGTGTATTATTTGTCAACACAGAGAATGCCACAGAAAAGTTTGAAAAAAAATTTGACCAGCCTGGCTAGATACCCCTGGGCTGTGCCCATTGTATTTGGTAGCTGAAGTTCCATAAGGTCTGGGATATAAGTTTCACAAGGTCTTGGATATTTGGATAGAATCTCCCTCTACTACTATTGCTAGAGATGATACTTTGCTTGATACTGTGGTTGACCTGGTGGTCCCCCCGTGTACCCCCTCTTCACTTTTTAGCATCTCCCTGGGACTATAGATTGCTGCTCTTTAATATTTATTATCTTTATTATTTATTGTGTTATACTCCTAATTTTCTTGCTTATATTTCTGAAATTTGATATGTGCCTAATCAATATGATAGGGCCTAAATTCCACCTCCTGATTGCCTACCTTGGTCATGTGGATGCTGCTACACTCTTTGATCGAGGGGTACCGGAGCTGGGATTGTTCCTTTATGTTATGTTTTCTTTTGAGATGGGAAATACCCAAAGGCTCTTTTCTATAACCAATTAAAACTATTTTGAAAAAAAAAAGATTTGGTAGCTGGAAGTCTAGGTCTTCCGGGAATACTCCCTATCTAAATTCCTTTACGCTTGCGATCTGACTTCAGGGACCTACTCATTGTGCCCCAGATGATTACCCGTTAATGACTGTGGTCATTTACAAGGTCATTTTGTTCTGTGCTATTCTTTGTATGCCCTGGACTGTACTATTGCTGCTGTATTGAACATCCGGTATTGAATGTGATTGTTTGTGGATGACACATTTATGGTCATTGTCATTTTCTTTCCAATAAACTTTCTCCTGAAAAAAAAAAAAAAAAAAAATCCCCACTACTCCAGTTCTAGTGTGCTAGAACCCGGGCCTGGAGCCCAAAGAATGGGTATTCTCATAAGCAGCTCTCCAAGAAGTGACAGCTGTAGAATGGCTTGTATTTTATATATAGTGGTAAGGAACATGCCAGACCCATTTTCTTAGAGTCTAGAATTAAGATTTTATTGAGAGTAACGTTCAGTAAAAACCAATGCGTTTCAGAGGCTCAAAAGAGCCCCCCTTCATCAGGGCTTGACTTGGGAAGAAAAGAAAAAAGATACTAGACTTCTGTAGTGTGGATTGATTACAACAAAGATTTTTGCAGATACGGTTTTGAAAGGAAATGCTTCAGGCGGCGGTTTTAGCAGCCTGGCTTTTATTGAACATTACTGCCAATAAATCTTGTTTCTGGACTCTACGGTAATGTGTCTGTCGCTTTCCTCTCCATACATTAGCAATAAAAACTTGACAGGGGTTCTAAGTCACCACTACGCTATCTACAACTGATAAAAAAAGTTTTGACTGTAAGTTTTTTTTATTGCATCTGGGTGGGGATACACAACATGAATTGAGAAGAAATCTTTCCAGACATCCGATTGTCACTGAAACAGGTGTCAAAAATGAAAAAAATCCCCTTACCTCCTATTTCAATGACAACTGTAAATGTTTTTTTTCCTAACATTCTGTTCCTGTTTCCAGTGGGGACAGCAGTGTTTCTAATGCAAAATTTGGAAACATTTTGGATGGAAATACATTTTAAAATTAAACTCTTGACAGATATAAAATACACAAATTAATACAGCTCCATAACCATAAGCCCTCATGCACACGGGACGTTTTGATAACGCTGGTAACATCAGCTGTGTAAAGTCACGCTAAAAATGTGAGTTTTGTAGTTTTTTTTAGCGTTTTTGCATTAGCGTTTAGCAGCGTTTTGCCGAGATTAGTGGTGTTTTCCAAGTTTGCATTTTTTAGCTTTTATTTGGGCCAACAAAAGTCCAAAAACAGTGGTTTGCAGTGTTTTACCATGTTTTGCTGCATTTTTTAGCATTAGAGCGTTTTTACAGCTAAAAAAACTCCTCTAGAAACCCACTAGTTTTGTTTTTTTTTTTCCTGTCAAAAAACATGCCAGCCAAAAAACGCTGATTACAGTCTGTGTGTGCATGGACACATAGGATAACATGCTGGTAAGTTTATTAACTGTAAAAAAAAAAACTTCAAATGCCAAAAACAGCAGCTGTAAAAACATCTAGTGTACATGGGGGCTCATTCCCTGCCTGATAAGCTTCCTCCAAATATTCAGAATTAAACACATTGTCTATACAAGCCCTTCATAATGCAGGTACTTACCGTATTTTTCTCTCCATAAGACGCACTTTTTTCCCCCCAAAAAAGGCGGGAAAATGTCAGTGCGTCTTATGGAGTGAATATGGAGCGGCTGGTCCACTATTTCCACCGCTGCCGTGTCAGAATACCGGGCCGGCCGCTCAGCTCTGCAGTGGGACCTTACCTGTTCCTCTATCCAGCGGCGCGCTGTCTTTCCAGCTTCTGTAGTGTGCGTGACAGCCGGGTCCCAAGTGCGCATGCGCAAGAAGCGGTGCTCTTTGTGAATGGTAAGGCGGTACCTGGGACACATGACAGATCCCAGAAGCCGCCGGACCAATCACAAAGCGCAGCACTTCTCGCTCATGCGCACTGGGCATCCAGCTGTCCGCCGAGCGCCCACACTACAGAAGCCGGGTAGACAGCGCGCGGCTGGATAGAGGAACAGGTAAGATCAAACGAAAACTCCGCGGAAGTAAGAGCGGGTACCTGTCAAATTCAGGTACCCGCTCCCCCTCCCTCCCCAAAGGTCAGCAGTCATCTCCTGTACTGTGTCCACAGTCTCTGGTCATCTCCTGTACTGTGTCCGCAGTCGCTGGTCATCTCCTGTACTGTCCGCAGTCTCTGGTCATCCCTGTACTGTGTCCGCAGTCTCTGGTCATCTCCTGTACTGTGTCCGCAGTCGCTGGTCATCCCTGTACTGTGTCCGCAGTCTCTGGTCATCCCTGTACTGTCCGCAGTCTCTGGTCATCCCTGTACTGTCTGCAGTCTCTGGTCATCTCCTGTGCTGTCCGCAGTCTCTGGTCATCTCCTGTACTGTGTCTGCAGTCTTTGGTCATCTCCTGTACTGTGTCTGCAGTCTCTGGTCATCTCCTGTACTATGTCTGCAGTCTCTGGTCATCTCCTGTACTGTGTCCGCAGTCTCTGGTCATCTCCTGTACTATGTCCGCAGTCTCTGGTCATCTCCTGTGCTGTCCGCAGTCTCTGGTCATCTCCTGTACTGTCCGCAGACTCTGGTCATCTCCTGTACTGTGTCCGCAGTCTCTGGTCATCTCCTGTACTATGTCTGCAGTCTCTGGTCATCTCCTGTACTGTCCGCAGACTCTGGTCATCTCCTGTACTGTGTCTGCAGTCCATTGGTTCAGAATTTTTTTTTTTCCTGTTTTCTGCCTCTAAAACCTAGGTGCGTCTTATGGTCAGGTGCGTCTTATGGAGCGAAAAATACAGTACTTCTTATCCTTGATAGATCATAGGTGCAGGTTCTTACCTCTTATCCTTGATAGATCCCATTTCCTTCAGCTTGATGTCACAAAGTCAGCTCTAATACTTTCTGTAATAAAGTTGAAGTTGGCATAACAAGAGATGAACACTTAATAAAGTTACTTAAAGTCCCAGACTACCAGAAACTGATATCTCAGTGTTGGATATTTAAATGCTGGTAGTTTGAAACTTTTACCAGCTTCTACCATTCGTTAGGCAAGATCTTTTACATGACTTCCCAGTTCTACCACCCTGGACAAAAATTCTTCCCTTTTGATGCCTGTAGGAAGGTATGCACCCAAAAGTAATAATGTGTGAATCCAAAATAACAAAAATAGCCAGCACAACAGGAGTTAATGAACTCAATATTTACTGAGGTCTTTAGCCCAATACACAATGCTCAGTGGACAAAGGCTTTTTTCTGTCTGAAAACAGGACACATTAAATCGTTAATTCTGTTCATGAATAAGAACAATTTTGGAGTCTGTCCCTTCAGAATTTTTCCTTTGGTAAGTCTAAATGTTGAAAGTTGTGTGCACACTATACGAAAATCGAACAATCGTGCCTAGTAGGGAGTTTTTCTTTCGATTTTCTCATAATGTGTACCCGACTTTAGTTGTAATGACAATATAGCTTAAAAAAAACATTAAAACCACTGTTTTGGGAAACACTCTGGTTCCCCCTGGTCTGTCACCTTGAAAAAGAGCTTTCAAAACCTGCTATTTTTATGCTTTCTTTTGTTCAAGTTCCACCATTCAGCCATTGAAGGACTCTTACTTTTTCTCTGATAGATTTTCAAGCATGCTAGATTAAAGATGAAAGAGAATAAAGTATACTACACAATGAGAATGAAAGTCATTTCCAGGTGGGATGTACCATTCATGCAGACTGTGCAGCTGACCCTCTGGTACTTAAGAATCCATTTGTACCAGATATGGAACAGATGGTTGCTGAGAACCCTCCCATTGTCACAAAGACCTGGACATTGCTAACTCTCTTGCTGTCCATTGATAGTACAGTACATTATCTTGATCAGTAATTGCATGAGGGACCCAAAATTGGTCTTGTACTGTGCCCTGTTGGTGACTCTGTCCACCACTAATCGCTTCCTCTGACAGATAAATCCCACTAAAAGATTTTGTAAGAGATATAAGAAACCATATTGTAGTCTACTCCACCAATAGTTGCTATGTGGTTAGCACTTCTGCCTAGCAGCACTAAGGTCATCAGTTTGAATCCCAGCCATGGCATTACCTGCTTGGAGTTTGCATGTACTCCCTGTGCCTTGCTAGGTTTTTTCAGGGTGCTCCGTTTCCTCCCACACTCTAAAGACATGCTGATTGGTTAATTGGGTCCTGTCTAAATTGGCTCTAGCATGTGTATGAATGTGAGTTAGGGACCTTAGATTGTAAGCTCCTTGAGGGCACGTACTGATGTGAATGTACAATATATACAATATTGCCAAAAGTATTGGGACACCCCTCCAAATCATTGGATTCAGGTGTTCCAATCACTTCCATGGCCACAGGTGTATACATGTAAGCAACTAGGCATGCAGACTGTTTCTACAAACATTTGTGAAAGAATGGGTAACTCTTAGGAGCTCAGAGAATTCAATCATGGTACAAGCAATAAGTCCATCTGTGAAATTTCCTTGCTAAAAGAAGTGATGTTAGTGAAGTGCAGATGGACACTGATGGATGGACAGAGAAGCCAGAGTGCCTGGGGCGGACCACAACAAGACCTGGTTTCTATGACTATGCGTTTCGCACAAATACCTGCTTTGTCACACTTTGGCTTCTCTGTCCATCCATCGGTGTCCATCTGCCAGTTTCTGCGCATCACTGACGTCACTCTCGGTGCGTGAGTTCCGGGGACTTCTGAGGCAGCATCCTGTTCTGTGAGTGGTACCTTCTCACAGTTGGCGATCTATCTTCCAGCAGAGCAGCCCACAGGATTCCTCTCCACCACCTCCTTCACCCTGGTCCAGATATAACTGTTTCCTCATCAGTAAGCCAATTTTATTGACCACATTCACACATTTGGGCTATACCACCCATTTCTTCCTTCGTTTACATTGGACATATGACTATGAACAATGGTTTTAATTCCATTCAAGTGGATAATAAAATCCTTCTTTTTTACTCTGGATAATATTGTCATCCTCCTTGCTAATTTTTAATACTTTACTGGTCACTATTAATTTGGCTCTATACCAATAGCGCTCAGTATAAGCTACTGTTCCTTGTAGCTGATGCTTTCCCTATTAATAGTTTACCGTGCCTTGTTCCACACTTGGTCTTGGTATGGAAGCAGCCACTTTAGTAGAGTAGTGCTTTGTTTCTCCATGTCAGAATTGCTCCCCTGATGACTGATGAATGATGGTGAGATGATCAAGAGGAAACAGGAGATATTAACAAAGCACAGCTGCACAGAATAGATGAAGCAGAAGCAGGGAGATCCTTGCACTGCAGGTCCTCAGTTACAGCTTCCTCTCAAGCAATGACAACAGTCAGCAGCACAGTAGTGACCTCACCACCAAATCTTACTCCAAATTTAACAAGACAAGAAGTCATAGGCAGCAGTGTCTTAGATGATCTCAAACTGCAGATATACAGCTTTGAAGCTGAAAGCACAGGATTGCCTAGGTACATGAAATGCTCCTCTATTCTCCAGGAAAAATTCAAGAAATAAGGTAGATTTCTCAGGGTGCTGCTTAGGGAGAATTACAATGTCAAGATGTTCCTTATAATAGAGCAAATCTAGACTTTTTGATTTCAGGTCCATTTTGTTACTGACAGTAAATGGATTACATATAATAGCTGAAATCGATGTATTTAGGTGGATTGAGTTCAAGAACCCTTTCTTAAGAAGAACCCAAATGTACCAAAATAAAACTAGAAACATTTGTCTTTATTGTCCAATTTATACTTTTGATAGCTGTCTTTCCGAGTCTTATATTTTATATGCCATTCTACAAATCCTTTGCTTCAGTGTAACCCGGAGCTTTGGCTGGGGAACTGAAATGGACATATTTAAGATTTTAAGCGCCAGTATCTTGCAGAGGATGGGTACTTTGGCTAGCAACTCGGTTATCCTTCCAAAATCATTAGCAATTAATCAATAAATGTAGCCATTGTTTACTATGCAGATGGAACAAATGGCACCCTATGGCATCAACTACACATCTAGTGTTTGTAATTGCTACCACACGCTGCTTGTGTAGTTCAAACCATAGGGAGTCATGTGTCCAATTTGTGTAGCAATCGATTGCCACTCTTACTGATTCTAGAAGTGTAATGCAGCTACTTAAAATCGATTGCCTGCTCCTGTACTTGCAGGTTTTGCATTTAAGCTAACTTGACTAATTGGAATGCAGGAATGAACATTATTCTGTTGCCTTTAATGGAATATACTGTGGAATATTTTTATCTACATGAGTGTGCGCAGGATGGTAATGTCAAGATTTTTAGTAATTTCCAAGGATTCCTGCTTTCTTCTTATGCTCTATAAAGCAGGCAGTGGTCCAACCAACACCAGGGAGAACACAACCGCCCCTGTAAATCTCTCTTACCAGCATTAAAAGCTGTCAAGCATAACCCACAACCTATACCACCAGCTCATATAACAGGGAAATCTATGGGGCTGTCAGCATGTAATCCAAGCTTGGGAAGGCCATGCACATGCACCAGTAGTCACCAATGTGCCATATTTCAGTATTGCCTAGCAAGGTTAACCTTTCGCTGGCTGGCCCCCGATAGAAGATGAAAACAGACCCTGTCTATTGGCATTTAATGTGACTTTTATGTAACATAGATGTCACAAAGAGATTAGTGGATGTCACTGAATATATAGTCAGTAATAGATTTTGGGTAAGTCTTGGCCCTGATATTTTTATGTAAATTGAAAAATTTCTACCTAATACATAATTTTAATGGTAACCGAACACAGTTCCACACTGGGTGTAAGAATTAAAGCTTGCCATACACACAAATATTTCTAATAAATTCCTTCATTCTTGCAATTTCCCTTTCAACTATTGTATTCAACACCTACTACTGTTGAACAGTGACTTCATCTGATTAGATGCTATCATTTTAACTTTGCTTTACCAAGCAATTTTTTGCCTGGCAACTTCGACAAAAGTTGATTGAAAAGTTGACGTTTGTCAAGTGGGGTGGTGCAGACAAGGCCAATTGCAGCTCAAATTTCAACAAATTCAGCAGAAAACAGCTAAAATTTGAGCCATATATGGCCAGCCTAAATTAGATTGTAGGCTTCCAGTATGCTCCTAATTGCCCCTGACCTCTAATCCAAGCCTGTTAATAGAACTAAAGGCAAACTTTTTTTTTAATTTGGATAAAGTGAGGGAGGGTTATAACCTCTGTCAGTGGTTTTTGCCATCTGTGCCCCATTGGGGAGATTTCCCTGCACTTCCTCTCCCATAGCCAAAACAGAAAGCAAGAGGAAATCCTTCCAAAATAAGGAAATCCCAGGGTGTCACCAGGGTCTTCAGAACTATTGTCCCCATTGGAAGATTTCTCTTCTATTACTGTTCTGGGGACAGCCCAAAATTTGGGGTTTTCTTTCATTTTCAGTTTTGATGATAATGGTATACAGGACAAATAGAGAGTGTAAATCTGCCTAACGGGGGCACAGACAGCAAATTGAACTGACAGGTGTCCTAATCCCTCTCGACTCTATCCAAAACTAATGAAAAAAGTTTTGCCTTAGTCTTACTTTAAGATATTCCTTACTTTTAAAGTGGTTCTAAAGGCAGAAGATTTTTTTTTACCATCGTGCACTCTATGCATGAAGGTAAAAACCTTCTGTGTGTGCTGCTCCCTCCCACAGCCACCCCTTATACTCACA